TTATATATATATAATAATTTTTTGCCCATAATGTATATAACATATTTATATTACAAGAAAAACCTAAACAAAACAAAAAAAAGAACGCGGTAGCCCTTCCCACACCCTGTCAAATTCTAGTCATGACAGTACTGTTGTATTAATGACTAAAGTAATTTGTACCACTGGTACTTCCAATTTCCACCCTGAAAAAAATGGGTACATATTAAAGTGACCCAGTCAATAAAAAAGTATGGGGGAAGCCATTTCTGGTCCTCTTATTAAAATGATAGATGCCTGGCTATAGCTGGCTTCAACAATTTATAATTTAATAATGAGTGTCAGAATTGTGATTTGTGGTTGGTTTTTGTTCAGAAATGCTTTTGAATACATTTTCCTCTCAGTGATTATGCTGCTTCTAGCTCTCCCACTCCAGTGTTCTATGCTGGCAGAGCTGAGTAGCAGCCACACCCCACAACACAAGTGTCTCACGCACTTGAACTGCAGAGGATGAGAGGGGGCATGTCCAACCAGTTCTTTTACCAAATGCTGATTACTGAGTGCACGGGTTCTAATTCTAGTGCCTATTAGACTGCACAGTCATACTTAGACACCCGGCACCCACAATGTCTTTAACAGGAAAGAGGCGTTAAGATTATGAAAATGGAAGTTGCTAATTTTTCTGACTGCATCATGTGTATCATTAGTGTCAAAATTCCTTTTGTCTATGCTCGTTCCAGGTCCGAGAACGTATTCAAGTCAAAACATCAGAATGAGCCAGGGAACTGACATTCCCAGCCCAGCAATGGCAGCCTTCATTCTTTTCTCATGACAGAATCACTTCAGGAAATGGTCTCAATACTCACAGGGGACAACCATACAAGTTGGTGCGGAGGCACAAACAGACTGGCTCCAAACAGAGTAAGGTGCTGGGCCCGGCACACGGCTTGATGTGGAAGACTGGCATTGCTTGGGCTCATGCCGTCTGTTCTCCATGTCAGGCTGGGCACATGGAAGTATTGGCAGAGGCTGGAGAAGAGGCTGACGGAGACCGAAATGGAGCTGATGGAGAGCTGACTTGTGATATTGATCTGGTACTCCAGCAACGACCCACTGAGTCACCACAATCCACAGGAAAGAGAAAACAGCATTAATGTCTTTGTACAGTTAAAGGTTCATCACATACAAATTGCATTATATATCATAAAACCGCTTTAAAGGAGAACTATGAGGTGAGTGCTTTTCACTCACCTCATAGTTCTAGCCGACCTGTGACAATGAGACTGTCACAGGTTGGCTCAGTAGATCGGGAGGTGAGCGAACACATACCGGCGTTCGCTCACCTCTCGATCCTGTCACAGCTCTCTGCCATGACAGGGGAGGGGCTGGATTCCCCCCTCCCCACTCCGATCCACCAGCGCTGACTGGCGGAAAGGACGGAGATAGGCAGAGCCAGCTGTCAGTCACGCAGCTGGGCGGATCCCGGCACAATTGTCGGGATCCGCTTCAGCTGCGGCGTCTCAGTATACCGCGAGCTACAGCTCGCGGTATACTGATCCTAGGGTGACGGGAGGACGCTAGTTTGTGTCCTCCCGTTACCCTAAAGAGAACTATGGGGAAAAGACATAACCCCATAATTCTCCTTTAAAGTCTAATTGCAGTCTCACACATTTTGATCTCTTTATAGCCCTGTTCCACCGCAAGCTATGATTTGTGACTGATTTATTTGTTTAAAAAATGTTTAAATACTTTTTCCTGATAATGCTCACCTCTCTGGATAATGCTCTCCTAAAAAAACTCCTGATTCCTGATAATGCTTCCGGCTCTGGCAGCCCAGAGCTCTTTACTGGTAGAGCTGAGTAGCAGCCACACTCTTCACCATGTGTCCTCACACAGACATGAATGGCATTGAGACTTAATAGGTTGAAGTCGATGGACTTGTGTCTTTTTTCATCCTGACTAACTATGTAACTATGTAAGAGGGGTGTGTCTAACCAGTTCTTATACTGAATACTGATTACTGAGTGCACTGGTTCTAACTCAGGTGCCTATTAAACAGCACGTCATACTTAGGCTGGGTTTACACCTCAGCGTATTTTTTCAGCGCGTTTTTAGCGCGTTTTTCCGTTCAGAAATGCGCGTTTCACTGGCGGTATGATTTTTTTTCCTTTATTTTCTCTATTTTTAAAAAAAATTATTGTTTTTTTTTAGTTTCACTTTTAAACTTCCCGCCGGCTCCACCCCCTGCGACGCGGCTGCTCGCAAGGGACGGAACCCGGAAGTCGGCAGCTGCCGGAGGACACAGCGGGGATCGCGGACAAGGTAAGACCTGTACGCTGCATTCCCGAGTGTGGCTTGGGGTTACCGCTTTCTTAGCCCCAATCCACACTCTGGAATACCAATGGAAACGCGCGGCAAAACGCACCAAAGAAGCTCCTGTACTTCTTTGGGCACAGGGCGTTTTGCAGCGCGTTGCCCAGGTGGGAACCATGCCCATAGGCAATCATTGGTTTTCACATGTTGAGCATTTTACAGCGCGTAGGAACGCACTGTAAAACGCCCAGGTTTGAACCAGGCCTTAGACACCCAGCATAGCTGCTTAAATTGGAAATGTGGCAGTGAGACTAATAAAATGGAGGTTGTTAGTATATTGATTTTCTGGCTGCAAATCTATATTCATACCTTTACCTGGACTTTATTGGCAAATGCTACCTAAAACTGCTTTTTCACATGGCAGCTTCTTTGATCTCCTGTGTGCTTTTTAGGCAATTTTGACTGCTGACAACTGACTAAAACATCCAAACAGATCAAAGCAGCCCACTGCCAACACTTCAGGTCATACTACAGTATTGCTATTAACTATTGGTGGTAGTGTGCATTCATCCATTTGATTGTTTTTGTGATTGGAAGCTTGCTGAGAGTGACACCTTCTTTATGACCTCAAGGGAGACACAGTGACATAAAGGGGTTGATGTATAAATCTGCTGGATGAATGCTGTTTGCACAGAATTACCACCACTAAATGGAGTTGAGGAGCATAGGAAATTCCAATGCTCCTAGACTCCATCTAGTGGCACTAATACCATGTGAATGGCATTTCCCCAGCTATACACTGGGTAGAAGATTTATACATCAGCCCCAAAGTGCTCCTCATGAATTATACCTTTGTTTTTCAGAGCCATGTATGACACGAAAACCTAAAGGCAACAGACTGGCTTGACATTTGATGGGCGTTCTTTACATGCATTTGACATTCCTTTGCAATATGTTGCTGACGTTAACATTTGGGCCATTATAGTTGAGTAAATATGAAATTCATATTAGCTACAGATGAAGAATAGATAACGATAAGTTTATACCTCCGAGTACTGGGAAGAAGCAATGTGAGATTCCGTGTATTCTCCTCACCCAACGAGAACCTCAACATATGAATCCTTTGCATGTCAGAATTATTGAAGAATTGAAGGGGTCCATATGAAATTAACAGTTCTGGGGATTCTTCAAGTGACCAGTCTGACTCTGAAGGTATAAAGTAAATGATTTTAGGGCCTTTTGAGTTTCTTGGCAAAGTAAGATTAATTACAAAAAGTCAAAAGCGTTGTGAAATTATTTACAGCGGAGACATTGATACTGTTTTCGTAGGTCAGTAGAGATACTTATGGCACTGCAAGTCATTTCATTGCAAACCAGTAAGGTTAAAACGGAACTATACTTACTAAACGGTAAAGAGAACAGTCTTGCTGGGATGGGTAGAGAAAGGATAATAGAACTGCTGAGATACTTATCCTTCTTGGGGAAAATGCTGCTCTAAATTACCTCAAGTGGCAAAAGCCCAGGTATTTGGCGAGATCTCTGGTTAAAACAAGGGAAGTGGGTAAGCCAGTCTAAACTGAGCACCGTCTTCCACAGAGAGCATGTAACCAAAAACCACATTTCTGGTTATGTAACCAACACTAGAGGGACCCTGGGGCAGAAGTTGCTTTGAGAAAGGTAAGTGCTTCAGTCCTTCTTATTGTCTTTATGTATCGATCAAAGAAACATAGCCATAAATAACGTATGAGTGCAGGTCTGTAAATCTGTACAATCTACAAAGTAACTTGAATAGAGTAACAGACAGAAGAACAATTTTTCAAAATAAATACTCAAAGAATACAAGGATGAGAGATTTATGATATATATATATACTCATATGTACTCAGAAAATATATATGTACTCATATAAGGAGAAATATGAATCCTTTTCCTCTCTAGCATGTAAGAGCTGCGATGGTCTAACCAGCAAGATGAGATTATATCCCATGAAGCAATGAATGCTTTTCCTGATGTATTCCAGCATGAGTTCTAATGGGAATCAGTATGATATACTGTAGTAGAGAAGTAGGTGTAGATTGTTGTTAGTGAGTGGACTGCGTATATACTATCCTCTAATCTCTCATGTGCCCTTGCCAAAGTGGCGATTGGTTAAACTTGGCAACTCCAATAAAAAAATTTAAAAAATCTATTAGATCAAAGTTCATTGATTTCAGAAGGAATCAACTTTATACATGCACTAATTCTTCCCAGATCCCGCTTACCATTCAGCTGTGTAAAACTAATATGTAGATGCATGCCTGCCGATATGTGTTCCATGCTGGTAGTCATTGTGAAGTTGGCACTACCCCTTGGCGGTATGAAAGCTGATACTGGACTTAGAACAACCTCCTCCCTGATGGGCAATGTCAGCTGGATTGCAGAGTCTTCAGGCAAGTCTTTAACAGGTACAGGTTCACCATTAATGAATGTGAACTCTAAGGCAACCAACCGAGAAGACATGGTGAGGTTTAGAGAAAGTCCTGCAGGAAACGGGTTATCTTCCAGTTCAATGGTCACTTGAAGAAGTTCATGGTAACTTGCCAAGGTATGTGACAGATTCTGAGGTTTAGAGGTTTGGTACAATGACAAAGGAGCAAAGCCCAGGGAGGGTTCGGTAGAAACTCGTGTCACTTGTGCCCGAACACCAGGAACAGCAAGAAGTAGAGGATCCTCACCTCGGACACATGACCTTCCAAGGGATACAGTGAGAGCCCTTGTCAGGTTAAAAGCAGTAAGAGACAGGTCATCCGAATATGAGGAGGCCAAAGCATCACCTGAAAAACCATGTAAACACAGAAGGCTCTATGAGATAAATGTTATACATATCACAGTGGTCATTGGATGGGTAACTGTTAATAAGAATAAAAAGTTTAAAACTTTTTGATGTTACTTGGGACTGAATTGATTGTCAAATTGACCACTTTAACTATTGGAAGGTCGATCATACGTTCCAAAAATTATTTTTTTTCAAACTAAGTTCTACTGGTGTATGGCCATCTCAACTATTGTTGAGATCAGTGAAGAAGTGAATATAGTTTACCTAATATAGTGAGGATGTTCTGTGGTATATCAGCATCAGGTCCTTGTCTGTGGGCACCCCTTTCATTCAGCATATGGATCATTTTCTCTGTGGTATTCAGGACATTTAACCATACTGGCATATCCATGTCATGATGAACACCCTTTAATATGAGACAAATAACATAACATTACACAGATATGAGGATACTTGGGCATAGGGACATGTTAAATGGAAGATAGTAAAGCTGTTTTTTTTTTTTTAGTTTTGGGGTGGTTAGGGGTTAGACCTTTTGTCAGGTTTGTATTGATGTTACTTGTTTTGGCGACAACCTTCAAGGAGGTAATTTTTCATAGGACAGCTTTGCTCTCATTTCCTGTTGTGTTTACAGATTGGAGATTTCAATGGAATCTTCTAACCTTATACATATATTTATCAAAGGATATTGTGCATCCTATCAGAAATGTGACTATTACCAAGGCATTAATTACCTGGTCTTTGCCAGAGCATCAAAGAGGTCTGGCAATCAGGCAAAGTTGGCCAGGGGCATCTCTGCCACAAACAGACTTCTGAAAGTAGAAGAAACGTGTTGGGTGCCGGATCTATTATAGCAGTAGGTGTTTTCAATCAGGTCTAGGGCAGTGTAGAATTAATTTCTCCTAAGTCAGCTCTCCTAGCAGTGGTAGCTGAACGTCGTCGCTTTGTTCGAGTAGGGACAGTGTGTAAAAGGAGCAAAACACCAAAATCAGAAAAGTACAGATTAATTTTATTCAGATTTTTATATCATAAAAAGGCAACATATTTGGGGATTCAAAGGGGAAAATCTGCATACGGTTTTCTTGAGAAACATAAAGTATACCTATTTTTTTATACAATTTGCCCCATGTGGTCTATAAATAAGGGGCACACTATGTTTTTACCATAGGCCCATTTAAACCGCAATTTCCATCAATTCCCGTGCTGGAGACACAATATACCAGAAAGGAAATCCTCCTAAAAGGAAGGAAAATCCCCCCTTGGACAGTTGTCACCGCCAGGACAGATGTCCCCAACAGCAGGTTTGCACTTACCTTCTGTTCTGGTGACAACTGTCTCCAGGGGAATTTTTTGCCCCAGTAAAAACTGTAATCGGGGCTGGAAATAATTTTCCAAATGAACACAGGCAAGAATCTAAACCTGCCTACTTTATCTATAACAAACTTTGGGCTGGGGTTTCACTTTAGTGGACAACTGCAGCCAAGTAAATACAGTGGTACCTCGGTTCACAAACGCTTCTGTTCACGAACAATTCGGTCCGCGAACAGGAAGTTCGGCAAAATTTTGCTTCCGTTCATGACCTCCGCATCGGGTAAAGAACACAACCGCAGCCATCTTCCCTGCTCTGACACGTGGTTGTGGCTTTCCCTAGTCGAGATCGCGGTCTGATCACAGTTTGATTCGGTTCGCGACCAATTCGGTTTGTGACCAGAATCGTGGAACGAATTAAGTTTGTGAACCGAGGTAGCACTGTACAATAATTACCCTTTAGAAGCCCACTTAAATAACTATTTTATCTACTAAAAGATCTGTGACGTAATGGTCATACTGCGATTCCCCACACATGCTGGGCCTTATAAAGGAGGTCTCTTGAAAGTCGTCTACTCTTTTGACTGCTAGTGAATATCGGCAGTCTAGTAGCGCCCCCCCTGTGATACCTCTCTTCTGCAAGTCCACCATATTGCCACCCATTGGCATACAAGGAGAGCACTCCCACTGCTATGATGATCAACTTGCACAAACTTACCACACATTGTGTCAAGGCTGCGCTAACTGCGGCTACCTCCCAAAGACTGGAGAGTGGTATGGAGGACACAGCACGAGTCACATTGTTTCGGATAAGCCTAAGATAATTCTGCTCTTCTTCAGTTATATTATCACCCTGTGGAGGGAAAACATGGCTTACTGTCGTCTAAAGTGTATCACATCATTTACTCACAGACCTGACAAGAAGGTCAGAAAATGCAGCATAGTGCAGACACTAACTGTAGCTGGACTAATCTCAGAAATGCAATAGCAATTGTCTTGTAAAATCTTGTAGGGATGAGTGAATTACTTTATGCAAGTTGGACCTCACAGCAAATCTGGCCAGTTTACTTCCACCCAAGAGTTGCTTGGAAGCAACAAATCCCTTCACCGGTAACCCCAATTCACTCAGTGCCCACAGTGCACAATGACCTCCCGAACAGGAAGCCCTTGTTCTTTTGATCATCCAATGGGGATCTGGCTTTTTAACACCAAAAGGGATTATGGTGTGAAAATTCCTTCCCCTCTGTTATTGCAATGGCCTAATAAGGAGGTAGTGCTATCCCAATAAGGAAGTAAAGTACTTTCATATTAGGGTATTGATGTCACATGGGGACACCAGGAGTTCACCAAGAGGGCTGCTGTGCACGTTGCTAAAAACAGTAGTTAACTAGTAATTTGTTCTTGAGATCACTTTTTAGTAAAATCTCATGGTGTTGATCAAATATTCACGGAGGAGAGAATAATGTAAACTTTCCATTATTTGATCATTTGTAGTAAATACATCAAATATGATCAATTGTTCTTTGGGATCAATCAGCCACAGGTGTTCAGATGCTGCAGACTGTCCATAGACAAATGGATCAGGGGCTTTGCTCATCTCATGTCCGTAAGAACATTAACACTTTAGCATCTCCTTACACAATTGCCATCATCATATCTCACCAGGCTCAGAGTGGTGACCAACTCCAATGCCAACTGGATCACCAGCGGAGTGTCACCTACTATGCTCATGTGCTCCAAGATGGACTTGCTGTGATTCCTCAGCCACTGAGTCGTAGAAATACCAGGTGATACCTGGGATAATGAAATCAATATAGTGCTGGAAAGAGAATTAAAAAATCAACAAAATCATTATGTTCTGCCAGATAAGCAAATGCCAAAAATCTTTTTCTATTTATAAGAGAACATTGGTATTAAAAATAGGTAGGATAGAAAATTTCAAGGCCCTATTAAAAAAAAAAACACTTTAGGCCCACCTTAGTTACATAATGTTAGTTGTCACTTTGGTAAATAAATAAGATAACTTCCTATGTTCCTCCGCTCCATCTAGTGGTGGGAATGCTGTGTGAACTGCAATTGCATAGCGTATGGCTTGGCAGAAGATTTATAAATTGACTCCTAAGTGCATTAAACAAATGTACTGTATAACAAAGCTTTTTCCCATTCCGCCTACACAAGTCGATTTTCCTAACTGACTGTGCCAAAAATTAGACTTTAAAGTGGAAGGAAAGTTTGGCTATGCTATAGGGAAATGTAGAAATGTACTTGGAATTATGTCTGGGATTCCTCCTGAAAAATAACAGTGCACTTTCTGATAAGTGAGAGTGCCTAGGTACTCCGTTGCATACAGCTGTATGTCAGGGATGTGACCATCCAAACAACCTTAGACCTTACCGGTTCAATGCCAGCATGCGAGCTCCCTGCGCGTCCTCCACTTCCACATACACCTGAATTTCTCTCAGCTCAATGGCCGCAGGAGGCCGCACACCATACTGATTTTTCAGTCCTCGGTATAAATGGAGCTTCTGACAACCTCTGGCAGAGCAAAGCCCAACCGACAAGGAGTAGAAGAGCTGAGTGTCCAAATCAGGATCCCTCCACCCTAGCAGAGAAACAGACTCTAATCGGTATGATCATTCTATGGAAGGGGGGGAATCTTGAGATCAGGTTCTTCTCTTGCTTTGGCCACCAGCCATTATAGGCATGAGGAAAACAAGTCAGGGATGCAGAATCTGCCTGCCAATGAGCATATGTTTCTATTGTTCAAGGCAAATACCAGCAACTTATTGTGACCAATCCGAAATCCTCTTTCAGGGTGTGACTGTTATTAGGCAAAATGCAAAACTGAAGAGGACAAAATACTACAGCAATGGTGATCAACTTCCACCACTTGGGCTCCAACTGTGGACCCTGACATCACCATCAAAAGCCACACATAATATTCAGTATATGAGGAGATATGTAGGAGATGGGCAGAGACTGAAAACATTCTACAAGAGACTATCAGAAACTACATGCAAACTACAAGAGAGAGTAAGAGACGGCAGACATACTACAGGAGAGAGTCAGATACTGCAACCTTACTACAGGAAATGGTCAGAGACTACTATGGCCAGAGAAATACAAGAGATGGTTACACATTGCTAAACATGCTAGAGTTGTGCTTTGAGATTGCAGACATGTTGCAGGAAACATCAAGAGATTGGGAACATGAGACTGCAAGAGATTATTGTCATTAACCACACAATATGCAGCAAAGTACTACATGCATTCATTGGTCCAAACAGTCAACAGGACACTACAGTGATGAAAAATGTTGAGGCACATGGTGGAGGGGAGTCCATTATAACAGTCCCTTATAAGTAGAAGAAACAAAGGGCTGGGAAGACATTATAAGGTGACAACTGCATCATTTTAGAAATCATAGACACACTATCAGCAGTGGGAAGAACACGGCATTACAACCACATTACAAAAAGCATATACCTGTGACTGCAGTATGCTATTTCTGCTGGCTACTCACCTGTGCAGTTATACTCCAAGAGGGTTTCTAACCACAAGATGGTGTGTTGGGGAAGCAGTGAGCACTCCCCCCCAGTTGGCGGCTTGTTCGGTATAAGGGTGATGCTGCTTTCTCCCCATTCCGGTTCTCTCTGCTGAGTAACCCGCAAATAGAATGTATAGGACAGATAATCCTGCAGGACTCCTCTCCGGATTACAAGCTCAGGGCTCCTAGGCCCACTGGTGGTTGTGTTCCTGTCCAAGGTCAGAGGATGCCCGAGGGAGTCTTTAGCACTCCAAGTAAACTGAAAGACATAACAGACATTTGTGTATATAATATAACCCTCAACCTTTCAGAATCCAAAAAACGACATGTATTAGAGCCTGCCCCATCATAGTTGCCTCCTATCTAAATCAAATAAATATTTTTGTCATTAATGTCGGAATCTCTCACCAATGTATCACTGTGGCAAGTATCACAGTCACCATACAAAATCACAGGATCATCATGGCTGAACTGATAGGGAGATGATAAGTGGCATGAGATGCATCGAATGAAGACTGGTAACACTTTGCCAGGATGAAGAAAGACCTGCAGAGAAGGAAAACATGTAGCCTGAAAATGGTACTTAAACAAAAGTGTTGAAATCAATAATTGTTACCAACAATTTTACCTACATTTTCAGCAATGCAAGAGCATTTAGTAATCAAGCCCATACTCCCTTAGAGATGTTACCAACACTATTAATTACATCATTTAGGCAGCAAAGTCAATACAGGATCAAAGCATGAATTGTAACTCTAAGCATAGAGACTAACACTGAACCAGAGCGCCATCCAGTGCCCAAAAGACATAACACTACATTAGCATAAGCTGTTGTATTTTCAACATTTCTCAGTTTATATAATGGGAAACCATTAAAACATATTTTTTTAAAGAAGTTCTGAACTTATAACTGGGCCAAATTATGTGGCAGCTTTATAACATTTGTATCCAATACAGTCACACTTACTATCTGCTGGGCCTTTGCTGCATTTCTTCCAGGCTTTCGTATGCTTAGGGTGAAAATAAATGATTTATTGGTACAATGTGCTGCCCAAATGACTGAGATCCTTGGTAGAGCAGGCAAAGGAGGCAGAGGGCAGGATGTTCCCTTAAAAACACATAACAAGAAAAAATAAGTAATTAAAGGGAATGAGCTCTCACTATTACAAATTACAGATAGAGTCTAAAGAACTATCTTATACCAGCTATATATTCCCTCACAAATAGACTTTCCAATCCTCCTTGGAATTCCCCCAGTGTGTGGTATAGGAGCATAAATGGGAGAGTATGGTGGTCACCACAGACAATATAGACTGTCCATGAAGGTTGTTCCTGCAGGCACTTTCGTATATAATGCACACTCTATAGGTGGTTGTTTTGGACTAAATACAGCTGCAATTGTAGTTTTGGGTGTGAAATGCAACACACAATTTATCATATTCTAAAAATTAGTAAGTATAATTGTAAACAGATATATTAAAAAAAATATTGATTTCATTAATTTATTCATTATAAAGAATCAATCTTTAATTACACTAATGTTCTGTAACCCACTGGAAATTAGCATTTAGACTGCAAGAGAGAAGAGTCAATCACGCTTTACAACACTTCACATTGCTGTGCATCTAACAAATAAAGCTTGCTGACTGGGGAGGAGAGCACAGAGGTAGGCTCATTATTGAGTTACCATTCCTTCCTTCACTTGCCTATCCCAGTCCTGACCAAGCTTTGTTGCTTTGACCACAGTGGGGAAAAGTAAATGGTCAAGGCCTTGTTATGGTTTTTGGACTGGAAAATTGGCGTGACAATTTTTGTAGGAATTACAAAATGTCCAAAAAATTGTATTTCAACTGTATGCTAATTTGTAAATACTTTATCCCTGACCTATCCCTCAACCCCTTGACCATATATCCAAACCTTAAATGAAATTGAAAATGAAATTGATTGCCCTAAAAGCTAGCAACCAATTTAAATTACAGTTTCCTAACTGACCCTATATTGTCACTATGCAGTTTTTCAGCTTTCCCTATGCTTTCTCTGCAGCAACTGCCAATATGTTGACACTATGGCTGCTCTGTGCACCCTCCTTTTACTAGTGAGGGGTTGGATTTACCAAAAGCCCCGCTATTAACTCTTCTAAGCCTGCTGGCGACCGTTGAATGGCCCTGCAGTTCATTATGGTTTTAAAACAATTCTTCTAGGCTAATGTTTATATAAATTTGCTAGGATTGTAAATCTTGAAAACATGGTTAGCTGCAAAGCCGAACCTCATTACTAGTGATGAGCTTATTTCATGTTGCCTGACATAGGAAGCTTCATTGCCAATTTGCTAGCCCTACACCCAAACTTCCTTTCTCAGCATTGGCCTTGGATCAACTATGGTGGAAAAGCAGGCCAAGTCCAAAGTAGCCCGATGCCAATAAACTTAAAGTGTATGTATAGCCAAAATGCTGTTTTAGTTTTGGATAGAGTAGGGAAGGGTTAAAACTCCTTTCAGTTTATATTTTGCTGTCTATGTTTCATGGGGCGGTTCCCTTCACTTCCTGTGTCAGAGATGTCACGAGACATCCTTCACGTCTTGTGCCAGAGACGAAAGAAAATCTCTACAAAGTACAGGGAATTCCTTTCTCAGCTGTCATCTAAGAGATGTCCCCACTGCAAGATTTCCCCTCCCCTCCGGTAACAACAGTAACAGTATTTTGAATTTCTCATCACTTTCTGTCACGGTCGGTGACAATGCTTACAAGGGCAAATACTAAGGTTTAGACTCCTAGCATGCACACAGATAGCATAAAAACCTAACAGGTTCCCTTCCCTACTCTACGCAAAACTAAAAGTAGCGTTGGCTTTAGATACACTTTAATGTTTTTAGGCTTAAAGGGGAAACCCTCATACATATGGGAGAACATAAAAAGCTATGAAGTTAGCATCTCAAGTGAGAAGTGAATGAAGAACAGCAGCATTGGTTTGGAGTCAGGAGTGCTAACCATTTAGCCACTGTGCTGCCATAAAATGAATGTTTCCATCCAAAAACTCCAAACCAGTCTGATAACAATTTTCTACGATGATTACAATACAAGATCTTATATATTAATTTCTGGATCTGAAACAAATATTTGTTCAGTCCACTCTAAAAGCACCTTCTCTGTGCATTCTTATGTTTTATTGGGCTATAAAAGCTTTTCTGTTTATTTTTTTCATATTCAGGATATCACAAAATGTGTTCAACTTTTGATGAATGTATCTCCTATTCCAGTAACAAATCCCACACGTTATTTCCCAGCATTGCCTGATCTTTCTAATGTTACAATAAATTACAAATCCTGACTATCTCACCTCATTCTTCAGTGGTTCCACATTCCATTCAAACTCCATATCTGTCTCTTTATGTCCTTCATCCAGGTCTGGATCATAAGACTTCGTACCATCCAAAGATAGGTCTCTGTCTACTGGCCAAGTTCGTTTTGAGCCTCCATGTATCTGAGCAACGATAGAGCTATGTCTGACTTGAAAAACATGTGTTGCATTATTAGAGAGCGGTGTTCCTTCAAGAGTAATGGTGAACAGCAAGCAGTAAATCCCAGTGCTAAGTGTGCGCCCAGGAATGGACAAGAACGTTTTGGATATGTCCAGTTTTGGGACAGCTAATAAGTCATCAGAGCAATCTGTCCCATTATAAAGCTGCCATAGATATATCGCTCTGTATTTTGTACATCCTTTTAGATTCACACTGGTTTCAAAATTTCCACCAATGGATCGGTAGAAAAACATTGGCAGTTTTAGCATCTGGACCTGGGGCTGTACACATTCCAGTGACCTGACACTTACAGTTGTCTGAGCATAAACTTGACTCACCAGATTAAAAGCAGAAACACGGGTCACATAATCCCCTTTGTGGTTGTAACAGTATTCAACTGAAGTCTCCATACCTGTAATATTTTTTTCATCCCCTTCAAATGTCCAGAGGAAATGTAGGTCTGACCCATCAGATACAACAGCAAGAAATGTGACGCACTGGTTCAGGAAAACCTCTTTGCTGTTGCTCTGCAGGTAAACCTTGGTTACTGGTGATTGGATGGTCACTGATGATGTAAAAGAGGAGAAGCATGAAGGGTTACTAGCATTGAGAAGAACAAGAAGTGTTCCAGCTTTGAGACAAGTGAATTCTATAGATTGACCCATAAGGGTAAACTCAGGTTGTCCGACTTGTTGGAAGGTCCACTGAAATACGGTGGCATGTCCAGTTTCCAGGGTGGCAGTTAAATGCATTGTTTGATCCACAGGCCAAAAAGTTGGAAGACTTATCACCTTCAACCCTTTCACGCTCTCTGCAACTTGAATGCTATGGCTAACGTTGGCCCTGCTAACTTTATTATATGCAATAGCCAAAATTTTAAATGTACCAGAAGAGGGAAAATTAAGGTGACCACATTTATGAATGAGGGTCTGAGAGAACTTCAACTGAGGAACCATGATTGTGAAGGACACATTTGTGCCACGGTGAATGCTGGGACAAAATTTGACTTCTTGTCCAATGCAGAAGATATTTTTTTCTGTGCTGACCATAAACCCACTCACTGCATCCTGCACCAGCAATGAAAGGGATGTGCTTGCAATGCTCACTGAGTTCCAGGCCTGAAGCCACAGCCAATACTGCCCAGGTTCTGTGAAGATATGCGACATGTTTTGGGTATTGTATGTAAATTCTTTGTTCATTCCAGACACTGTCCATTTCCATGTCAAATCTGTGCCACTTTCTACTGAACTGTATGATAAAATCCTTTTGTGTGACAAAACTGCTAGGGAATTATATGTGTTTTCGATGCCAATGCTAAGGTTGGACAGTACTTCTTGCACAGTCAATACCGTTGACACAGTGGTTGAACTCAAAGCATTGGACACTGTAACCGTAATGTTCTTTAAACCAGGGGTAAGGAAATATAAAGTCACAGCCTGTTTTTGATTCATTGGCATTGCTGAACCTTCTCCAAGATGCCAAGCATACTCCAGTTCACTACCAGATTTTACAAAAACAGTTACATTTACTGGAGTTCCAAGCGCAACAAAGCTTGCAGCTTTTTGAATATAAACACTTTTTATTCTCTCTAAGATTTTGAGTTGAGTTTGGGCATATCCAACTCCCAAGACATTCTCTACCCAAACCTCTGCCAAAATATCTCCCAATTTATTTGGGTGGAAAGAAACAGATGAACTGTTGCTTTCCCATGGCCCAGGCCACAACACCCAACGGTAGGTAAGGTTGGTGCCTTTGACAACATGAGCCGTGAGAGTAACAGGTTCATTAAGACCAGCATAGCCAACCACATATGGATACTGTTGATGAACACTTACATTTTCAATTGGCTCCTGCACATCTACCATGATAAATGCTTCAGCAGAGCTTACTAAATTTTTAGCTGTCACTCTAACCCTATAGGATCCTGGATCATTGAATATATGAGAGATATTTGAAGGTCCAGTCACATTTGGACATGACTTACACATTGACCAGTAATATTGCACACTATCCCCACTAGACAAGGATGTAAAAAAATTGACCATTTGTTTAGTCTTTGCTATCACATGGTCAGCATTAAGACACAATTTTTTAATTGGAGCTTGCACATATACTATAACAGAGGTTTTACCAAGGCTCACGCTGTTTTTTACCTGGAGACTGACCGTTATGTTACCTGACACATGGAATTTGTGCAAGACGTTTTGTCCAAAACCTACATGGGATGAATTGCCAAAATTCCATAGGAAATTAGCAGAGACATCTGATACGACTGCATTAAATGCTACCTCAACTTCAGCTGAGATTACATCTCCACCATTATGCCTTATATAAACAAACATAATGGGTCTCTGAACAGTCACATAACACTGTGTCTTGTAGTGGCTGACTTGATTCCACACAGTCATTGTGACTCTATAATGTCCTTCAAACTCATAATACCATCTAATCTCTGGTGAGGAAGAATTGATAGGTAACATTCCAAGACCGAAATCCCATTCATACAAATAGAAGTGCACTGGATCTGGTGGTGGTTGCACCGAAGAATTGAAAAGGACCAATTGGGACACATTAGCGACTGCAGGTGATGCATTAATGGTAGCCACAATAATCTGATCTTCTACCGTAATGATTTTGCTATAAATATTGCTTATTTTCTGTCCACTCACCAGTAGCTTCAGTGTATAATTACCTGCAGCAACATAGCTATGCCACACCTCAGCTTTTCCTTGCACAAGGACTGGTTGACTGCCATCTCCAAAGTCCCAGCAAAATTTAAGCACGAAGGGTGGCCCTGCGTGGTCTGCAGTAAACCGGATCTTCAAATGGCTAGTAATAACATCAGGGAGGATGTTATTAACTTGAATCATGTATATCTGAATAAAAGTGGAACTATTGACACTGCTCAAAGAGTTTCTAGCAATTACTCTAACAGTGAAATCGCCACACTGGGCATATGTATGGCTTACGGAAGATTTTGACTGGTTAGTGTAAGATATACCATCCCCCATGTAGAAATTCCATATAACATTTGTGCCCTGAGCTTGCGAGCCGGTTATTATAGTTTCTGCTCCCAGTTCGGTTGGTCCATTGTTTAACAATTGCAGGCCTTCAATTTTCTCCTCAATGGTCACCATTAAGAATCCTGTTACATAGCTTTGTCCATTGGTTGCAGTGGCTGTGACATTGTGTGTGCCAAGTGATTTGTAGATGTGTTGTATTTGCAGATCACTACTTTGGAAAGTTTCAGATTGATCCCCAAAATTCCAGGTGACAGTCACACCAAAGTGGGAAGGAAGACAGATAGCAGAGAATGATAACGTTTCATGCACTTCAAGAGCAAAATGGTCTACTTTCACACTCAAGCTGGAGAGTCGATGGACAACTTGTAACTGCAAAGTCCTCGTAATCTCAGAGCCGCTGGTATAAGCCTTTACCATCAAGTGATATTGACCTATAATGAATACATTTTTATCATTAGCTATAGAATGTCTAGTCTTTTCCCATTTTAATGTCATATTTGCGCATTAAATATGCAGTGGCCATTTTTGCTCATCACATATGCAGGTTCAGCTTACTACTTCTAAGCGGTGCACAATGCAAGTCTATGAACTGTCTAAGCCACTGGAAACAATGCATTTTCTGTATCTCATATCTTATCTCAACAGTTGTTAAAGGGACACTCACTTTGTCCATGCATAAAGCACCCCTCCCCTGGCATGTGTACTTAATGGGCCATGCAGCCTTGTCACCTCCTCAGCCTCCCAGCCTGTCTAAGTGTCAACTAATTTGGGAGTCTGGAGATTGGAATTACATCATGGCATCCCCCCCCTCACACACACACACACACACACATACACATGGCAGTGGTTGGGCCTGGTGGTGCTCAGTCCCAAACACTGTCACACAGGTGAATTCACGCTCCTCTATACCCAGAATCTTTGCTCCATTAGCCTAGTTTCATTCGTTGAGGGAGCATGGCTGGATAACTACACATAGTGGATAGGGCACTGCCCTTTCAAGCAGATCTAGTAGTGAAGTAACCTCTAGTGTCTAATCTAAAACACATTTTTGAGACACGGTAAGAAATAAGACAAAATCTCTATAAAGTGAGGAAAATCCTCATTTAGAGAGCTGCCATCAGAACAAATGTCCATATTGGAGGATTTCCCCTTTGTTCCTGTTCCAATGGATTTTCCCCACTTTAGGTCCCATTGATAGTGATCAACAGAACAAACAGAGAGGGCAAATCTCTGCAGTGGGAATGATGACAATTCATTATTCCTTATAAAGGCCATGTCCCTTCCCATTACAAATTTATATCACACTAATCTTCCTCCAACTTGTTACCTTCTTTGATGTATTCATGGCTTTCTGTATCATTCAACGTGACCAGGAACCCTTCAGAATTCTGCATATCACGAGGAGCACAAAAACTTCTGTTTAGCAATGCTCTGCCGTCTCCAAAGTCCCAGCTGTAGAGATAGTACATAATGATAATCATTGGAGAACATACTCCATTATATGTGCTTGGTGTAGAAAAAAAATCACCTTAGCTATTTGGGTGCAAATGACCAGAAATAGGACTAATAGGCGCTCATTATTTAATTTTTTTATCATCAATAAAAAGACTTTTACAATAAAATGTACATACCTACTGTATGTAGAGCCTTGACCTCAAATGTAGTAATAAAAGTCAAAAGAGGAATACATAGTCAGGGTTAAGATGGCATTGCATGCTATCATGTTTAGATCTATATGTTTGATAAATATATCTACATTTTTTAAAGCAAAAATTGAGCCATCCAGCCTTCAATCCAGCTATTCAATAAAGAGCTCTTATTCTTAAAGTGGACCTTGCTTTGTACTGCTTATAATGTCTAGGCCCCTGACCCCTGTAAAAAAATTACCTGGTGTTGATAGGTGCACAATATACCTTTAAATAAAGGCGTTAGCTTCATGCTTGCCTTATACCTGTCTTTTGCATCAATGGGTGTGATGTTATCATGTTACGCTGGCTTCCACTCGCCCAGAGGATAAAATTCAAAATATTAACAGTCACTTATAAAGCCATCCACAACTCCGCCCCCGGATATATCTCAGACCTTGTCTCAAAGTATCACCCTAACCGTCCCCTCCGCTCATCCATTGACCTCCTGCTTTCCAGCTCCCATGTCCACTCCTCCCATACTCGCCTCCAGGACTTCTCTAGAGTCTCTCCCATCCTCTGGAACTCTTTACACCAAACTGTCCGTCTATCTCCGACCTTGACTGCCTTTAGGCGTTCGCTAAAGACTCATCTCTTCAAGGAAGCCTATCCCACCTCGACCTAACCACTGAACCTTCACATTCTCAAATAATTCATCCTCACACAGCTACCTCCTCATGTATCATTTCCCCCTCCTCTTTCAGATTGTAAGCACTCAGGGGCAAGGCCCTCCTTACCATCTTGTCTTGAATTGTAATGTCTTCCTTATATTGTAAAGCGCTGCGCAAACTGTTGGCGCTATATAAATACTATGTAATAATAATAATAATAATAATCATCCCTACGTGAAGGTTCCAGAGCAGGTCAAATGTTGTGAGAAGATACTCCAGTCCTTTACAACAGTATCTTCTTGTGAGATTTCAGCTGCTATTTACTCCCCAAGATCTCAATGAAGGAAGTGTGACATCATCCTTATCTATATGTTGCGGTCCGTAGACAAGGTCAAGGTAAGGGGTAAAATCTAACTTTTTTTACAGGTACATTCTGCACCTGAAACTAAGTTATTTCCACAGGGGGAGGTGGCCCAGACATTATAACTGGTCCTTGCCTTTTACTGCAGGTTATGATTTAAAGATTTAAAGCCCTAACAATAAACCATCCAATTAAAAATCATTCTGTTGAAGGTAGACCAGTAAAAGGTTATTGGAAAGTCACCTTATGGTCACATCAGACGATCTTTGCACTTGTATCTTGAATAGTATTGTCTGAGTCTCAGAGGCCAACAGCACTGTGGAGGAAACAACAAGCTCAGCTTCCGGCAGCAGTATACCTCCTTCTACCTGTAGGAGCATCTCCTTCTCCTGGGAGCTGACAGAGTTTTGAGCAACCACCTGGGAAAAGATACAAACATCACATATAGATATTCATTAGTATAGAAGATAATTAATACAGCCAGCTCTGAAAGCACTACATATAATATTTTTGCTTGCCAGGCTTTATGTTAGCTGATAAGATCTGTTGCTTGCTTGCATGAAGATGGGCAGATATTATCCCTCATTCTGCTCAGCGATTTCTGTCTATGTTCAGACTATGTGCCCTTGCAACCCTGTCCATGTGTCAGGATGACTGACAGCAGTTAATGAAGCACAAGGACTGGGATATCGCTATCACACATAGCACATATGAAGATGTTTAAGCAGTTGGAGCTGTAAATTAGGCAATTATGATGGACTTACTTTAAGTTGATAGATACCAGGAGTCCTGAATGTCACCATGTAGCTTGTTCCCTTATATGAGAATCCTTCATTGTTATCCATGGTCCATGTGAATGTGACAGATGACCCTTGCGTCACTGTGGCTGAGAAGATCTGAGAACAAGGAGTTGTATTGGCAGACGTTACCATCTACACTTGTAGGTCTGAAACTGTGCTAGCATTCTCTATGTTGCTGACATTTCAAGAGTAAATTCCAACATTAGGACTCACCCGTGTCTGATTTAGCTTAACATGATCTGGTCCATCGGAGTGAATGCTGAGTCCTTGAATGGCATCATGTGACTGGATTGGCATGGTAAGATTGATAGAACTGACCTCATTGGTCACCATGATGGTCAGTGTAGTAGTTTGTGGGTGGTCAAGAATCAACCACATCCACGCAAAGCCAACATTTATTGAAAGTGTGTCGCAAACAGGTAATTTTGAGGAAATATCTGAAGGACATTTCTGCTGCAGTACTGACTCTCCACTTTGTGCCACTGTTGACCACTGAACATAAGCTGGACTGGAGCTCTGAGCACTGATGACCACAAGGGTGGGATGAGGAGTGCCTACATGCAGGCCATCAGTTCCTAGCAAGGGGTATATAATCTGCAAGTCACTGACAGGACTTAGAATAGTGATATCACAGCTTGTTACAGTTGAGCTAACTCCATTGCTTAGGGCAGCGCTGACTACATACATCCCATCTTCCTGAAAGCTGCTTAGCAGTGAGGACACTACTAGGCTACGTAACTCTGATCCATAGAGGACACGAAGGTCACAGACTATGTCGTCAACCCAGATGGCAGAATTTAGCTGAAAATAGTCCTCCAGCCATCCTAGGTGTGTCATTCTGGCATAGGTTTGCCGCCAGGGTGAATCTGGACTGGATTTGCAACGTAAGAAAGACTCTCTGTGTCCAGTGTGCTGTATGGAAAGTATATCATCTGGGTGTACAGAGTGAGACAATTGGGACAACTGGACCTGCAAGAGAAAAATCTACTTCAAAATCATCATTAATCAAAGACTGTTCATAAAGTGGATCATGGGGTGAACAGGCAAATTAACTAGATGGGAAGAAGATGGTGGCACTGCTCCTTAGCCTATTCATATGACCTTTAAAAAGGAACTCAATTGGCATTACTTGCAATGAAAACATAAGCTTACTTGTATGTTTCGTTCCTTCATGTTGGGACTGAGATGCAACAGCACATCGGCAACTGGTGAATATGAGGGGGGAACCCCTGAGTATCGTGGTGGGTGTGGGTAACGTGCAGAGGTATAAGTGCTGCATGGACGGTTGAGTTTCAGGCAGGTTTCACTAAGTGGACACCACTGCCTCCCACTAGGACAGTCACCAGTTGTGTTACACAGGGGCTGTGGATTGCATGTAGCAAATGGAGACCAAAGCGCTACACAACCTATCAAAAGAAAGTGTGCAAATTAATTTACAATGAAGCTGGAAAGTTTTGAATTGGCAGTAGATTTATGAAGCTTATTCAATACAAGAGAGCAAGCAGTAAAGTGCAAAGTGCTAAAGACTTCTACTTGCAGAGGAGGGGGGGAAAATGGAGCTGCCAATTTGTGACAGGGGAGTAGAGATAAAAAGTAATTTATGGGATACGTGGTAATGCCTCCATAGGCAGGGACATCTAACCTCCTGCATAGCAGAATAATCCACTAACGTTCACTATAGGCAGGGACATCTGCTAACCTCCTCTATAGGCAGGGACATTTTCTAAACTCCTACATAGGTGAATAATCTGCTAACGTCCACCTTAGGCAGGGACATCTGCTAACCTTCACCATAGACATGGACATCTGCTAACCTCCTCCATAGGCTGGGTCATGGGCATCTGCTTACCGCCTACATTGCAGGGGGTATCTACTAACCTCCACCATAGGCAAAAACATCTGCTAACCACCTTTATGGATGGGGACATCAGTTAACCTTCTCCATAGGTAGGAACATCTGCTAACCTCCTCCATACTCCACAGGGCATCTGCTAATCCCTTTCATAGAACTGTGCATCAACTAACTTTCTCCAGAGACAGAAACATCTGCTAACCTCCTCCATGTGAAAGTGCACTTCATTTTTGATGTTCAACTAGAATTTATATTTGGCAAAGTAAGACTAGAGTATTGTTATAGAGGTTACCAGCAAACTATCCGTACTATATATTTTTGACATACCTGGTGGGATCAAGTGCTGTTCTGGACTGCAGAATGGGCGCAGAATCTGGATTAGAACCAGGAGTTCATGCTGTACAGGCTGAATCCCCAAATCCATGGCAAGCAGAGACCCTGAGTGGCTGAACCACAGCCCAGGAAAAACCATTACCTACAACAGAAAAATTGCAGGGACCGAGCATGAGGCACTCAAGCCAGCATTTGTTTTCTGTGAAGGTGAACAAAGACTCCATTTTTAATCCTGACTTTTGTTTTTAAAAACCAATTACATGATCCTTTAAAGATCATTATTTGTATCTAATTTTGAATTTAATTTAGTAATAATCAAGAAGAATGTTCCAGAAATGAAAGTGGATCCAGAATGGAACATTGACGCTTACCTCAATATCATTTTGTGGTCTGTTATGTGAAAGAGTTAATGTGGCATTCTCCGTGTCTGCATCATCAAATATCGGCACACCTACCAGGTACACGGGGGCATCGGGGAGACGTACTAAAAAAGATAAACACATGCATGCAGGGTAAAATCTTATTACAGTTGACGCAATACTATAACCGCATATGCTTTAAAAGAGTGAATGGGATTGTACAGTGGCTCATGAGCCCAATCATTTATTTTCCAAATATGTTTGCACCTAAACTTTGAGCCAGTTGGATCCCTATAAAGATTATTTCCAGCAGCAGCAAAGAATTAGGCAATGATGCTGGCTCCTTAACCTCTCTGTTATGAAGAGCTGATGACTAAAGAGACCCTGTTGCCAGCTTTAACTTTTTTATTTAAATCCTTGCAGCAGTAGGGAAAAATAATACTGACAGGTACAATATTTATTATGCCTTGCTGGGGTTACACTGAGGGCCCATTCACACCATGTCCGGATCATCTCCAGACCAGAGCAGATTGTTTCCGGGCCCAAAATGCATCCTAAAGTATCCCTATGCTATTTCTGGCCTCTGTTTACACCAGCGTAGTCCGTTCCAGACCAGACCAGAAAAATATTGCATGTCTCATTTTGTCTGGTCTGGAATGCACTGAAACTGCGGGCAGGTTTACACCATTTTTATGAAAATGGTGTGAACCAAAGTGGATTTGCTTGCTTTAAGCAATGCATGATGGGATATGGGACATGTAGTGAAAAACTTGCATTTTATCAAGCAGCAGGGAAAGTGATGCAAAGCACACTGGGAATCCAAGAAGTTGATGAAAGTGATGGGCAGATGGAAGGCAGCACTAATTACATAAAAGGGATTTTTTTCCAGTAAGCTTTGATTAAATTATCAAAAACATTTCTGGTATGTATTCCTATTGCAATGCTGATGTTATAACAGGAGAGGATATGCTGGGGCTTTACAACTCTTTAATTAAATAATTCCTTTATCATATGCCATAAAAGTAGGAGATCGCATTTCAAAGATGCTATCTCTCTGCTAAAAGGCCAAAGGAAGGCTTAGAAAACATTCCGATTGCACTGGATCCAAGTCTGCATCAGGCATTGGACATGTATGATTGGTCTACAATACATTATTTACAGTTATATAAAATACAGACCTCCTGCCCGGCATTCACAGATAGAAGGTGCTCTCTCTAGACAGGGGCTCCTCCGATAAACTTCCCCGTGTAACAATGACAGGTGCAGGCAATCCTCCTGTATTTTATGATCACCTAAGCCTGGTTCAGTCAGGAGTCTCCTATTTGCCTCTTTTAGGGACTGTGAAATGTTCACCCAAACTGGAGAAGTACTGAGATAAAGAAAGACAGACACAGTAGGAACCAATGGAAGAAACAACAAGTCTAACAGTAATCTAACGCTTGTTGTAGTTATGTTACCTTTGACATCACTCATTTTAAAGTTAACTAGTACCCAGACTATGTACACTTACTAATTTAGATGTTCTGAGGAAGCAGTAAAAGCACTTTAAAATAAGCCCTTATTTACCTCTGCAGCTATAGGCACTGTGGAGAAATGTATCTTCAAAGTTCACAACATAGTTACAGAAATCTCATCTTCTTTCTATTACAATGGAATCTTGGCAGGCTGCCAGCCCTCTGATGTAAACAAAGAGTAGGGTATGAAAGGTTTAGGACCTTTGTCAGTGTTCCTACTGGGACAGCTTAGTAGCACGAATGTGTCTGCTGCTCCTGATCATGTGACAGCATCACATAAAGAATGATCAAAGCCTAGCCTGTCTTACCTGTAGCTTTGCTGCTGAACTACAACGGAGCATCTGCTGTCAAAGGGAAACTCTGATAGTTTAGGATCAATTTTATATTAGTTTTTTGAGTAGATACATTGTTGTTTTATAATATACTGAATATATATATATATATA